ACGTTTGAGTGGATTTTGATAAACCAAATAAAGAGTACAGGATGTAAAGCTTGAAGCATGGAAACTCTGCTGTATACGATGTGCAGGGCGTGGTCTCCGCCCTTACAGAAGGGTTTCATGTGCTTATTTCGAATCCTGTGTTATGCGAAGGTCAAAGGGTATGAGACGCGGAATCACGCCACAAGGCTCAAAGGGTACATGCATACACTGCATTCTGAGTGTTCTTTATTACTCTCTTAGTGTGGGGGAAAACTGTACGAAGAGTCACGAGAGGCACAACTGTGTTTCAAGTGGTCCTTCGCGTGTAAAATGCAATTTGTCTCTTTTTGAGTGATTTTTCAATCTGGTCCCAAGTGAAAACCCTCGAAAAGAGAGCAGCAACTTCCGCTCTTTTCAAATAGTCATAATCAAGGATCATTCAAAATCTAACTTCTTTTTTTCACTCTTGTGTATGGTTGATGGCGCAAAGTTAGAAAATCCACCTTTTACAAAAATGGAAACAAAGTCAGGCACGCAACCGTTCCTTTTTAATGTAGGCCAACTTGACTTAACTTATTTCCTTTCCTTCTTTTTTAAGCCTTACTTACAACAGGAATGACGGCATCTAAAACCTTCCTGGATTCTGCGGAGTTGATGTCACGGTGTGCAGGCTTATACGTAGCCTCTTTTCCATCTATTATGGTGACGTCGAGCTTGGTCGTAAACGGCTCTTCCTCTATATTGGAAAAAAACGATACCAGTTAAGAGGATTCTCAATTAAAAATTATAAACATTACAAATTTGACCCAAGAGTTGAGTCAATGAGCTTTTGGCTTTGAAGCAATCAGGCAATTTCCAACTTGTATTGCTGAGTCCATTAGGATAATGCAGTGTAAACATTTCATCCACACCTCTCTCTCTGTGTCTCTCTCTCTCTGTCTCTCTGTCTCTCTCTCTCTCTCTCTCTCTGTCGTAAATAATCATGATTCCATCTCTGATCTACCAATGCATTTGCCGTCTTTCTCCACGTAGCCCTCCAATGAGTTGCATTTGCAGACATATTCCTTCCCATCCGTGATCTTGGTGTCGCTCTCACAGTACTGACCCCTTTCTTGACATAGGTCCGGGTTTTCCGTACATGGATTCTTCTCCGTCGAGACTGTGCACAAAAATGAAGCTTGGTGAGAACAGAGCCCCCAATTTTACAGGATGTCTACAGCGAAACAAATACCGTGCAATACCGCTAGTCTTCACCACCCGAGGAGACAAACTTACCGCAGTGACAACCGCCACGCTTACACTAGCGCTTTTACACTTGAGTTATACGCGTCCCTTTTGTAAAGAACCAGTTCAGTTTTCAAAATTAATGACGCCAGGGGGAGAAATATTCGGCACATGTTGGTTGGCGCCTGGTCGTGCTCATTGGCCTGACAGCGCGAGAGGAATTCTTCCGAACTCAGTTTTGGACCATATAGAAACAGTGGTGCTCGAGGAAGCGGGATCCCGGGAATGAGACCGGTGTAACATTGGAAAGCCACAGACGGTCGTCTTCAAGATTATACTGAGCTTCTTGCTTGCACGCACACTGTTCGGAAATAAGAACCTGTTTCTTTTCCCTTTATTCTTTCCAACACGCGCCTGGTGCATACGCGAAGACGGAACATTCAAAAAGAAGATTTGTCGAGCGTGCTCAGCGTGCCAAACAATCATGCCGGTGGCTCCAATGACCACTGTATGGCATTACGAAACCAGACTTCCACAAGCCATGTGGAAAGCAAACCTTGTTTTTCTGAACCACGTCGTTTCCTAATTGTTTTTTTTTCTCAATGCATAGCTTTACTGTCTACTTGGCATCGCATGGGGACAACCATGCAATAGTACACGTGCATGGGCACCGTACCGCTGTACCTTCAGAATGCTTAAGGCCAGGCTGGGCGGGAGCTTATTAATATGTATTTTCTGTTTGTTATTAGTGCACTTATCCTCCAAGCTAATGGCAAAATATTTGCGACTAGTGGTGAAAAAAATGTACGACGTTGCGAAAATAACACGACTAATCATGAATAAATTCACGACGTCACAAAAATATTCGAGACACGTCGTGAATTTTGATGTCCCTTCAGGGCCACCATAGTTTCAAGTGGGCCGGTTTACCTTATTGAACTTTATACTAATAGTGTGGCAGACCAAGAATCGAGAGGCAGATTGAGGTCCAGGGGCAAAAATGGAACTTCCTTTGAAGACTGGCCGTCCAATTCTTATTTTTTTCACCCGAAAGGTAGTGGTGCCACTTCTAAAATGGTAGCATTTTGGAATCCTAAAAAGGAATCCTAAAAAAGATCCTTCGGGAGATAAGCCACTCGGGCACATTTGTAACAGATGCATAAATTAAGACCAATAGGCTTCTTTTAAAGTTAACTGGACGCGGTCTCAACCTTAATGGAAATAGAATGAATCTAACCTTCGCAAATGACGCCGGCAAATCCCTTCTTGCACAAACACTCACAAGACTCTTTCAGAAATACCCCGTTGGTTGTACAGCTATCTTCACTCAGTCCACAGCCTTCTGAAGAAGAAACAGAAAGTGAGAAAGGAACCAGAGCTGTCACTGCCATTTGGTGTAACAATAAAAAGTGTTAATTTTGCATCTGTGACTCGCTGTCCACTTTGAAGCAAAGATGGTGACGATGAGTCCGAGGAAAAAAAATCTGTAGACTCACCTTTGGTTGTAACAACAGTTGTTCCATGTAAATTGGTGGCTGCAGTTGTTTCCGAATGAGTTGTGACTTCTGCAGTTAAACTTACAGTTGTTCTGTCGCTGAGTGAACTTGTAGTTTTAACTGCTGTTGTTTCGTGGAATGAACTTGTATTTATAGTAGCTGTTGCTGAAGTTACCGTTGTCTGTGTGCCACTTGTCGGTGAAGATACCAGCGTTGTCTGTGTGCCACTTGTCGGTGAAGATACCGGCGTTGTCTGTGTGCCA